ATGTGTTTTGAACGCATTTATAAGATTATCTCTTTGTTGCTTTGTATGTCCCTCCCCCACAGTATAACCCCTGCTTTCACTATATTTGATGTCAGTATAACTTGTGGAGGAGATGGGGAAAAACCAGTTGTTTAAGGATACAGGTGGACCTGTTGCAACAATGAGAAGTACAAGTTGTCATGTCCAAAACGAGCTTTACAATGTCGTTGCGGGGGAGGGGGGAAGGGGGGAAGGAGAAGGATGGGATTGGGGGGGGAGGGGGGAGGCTGGGAAGGGATGTGAAGGGTAAACCAAAGGAGGAGGCTGCAATGCTTGGTAAGAAATGTACGCATTATCCTGCCCATGTAATTGTAACCCCTCTGTACAGTATGTTCACAAATAAAATAAAATAAAATTTTTAAAAAAAGAATACTTCCTAGTAAATATTTTAATTAGCATATCCTCCCTTATATTCTTCTTATATTTTCTATAAAGGATCAAAGATTCCCTATAATACTTCCAATTTAAAAAGTTATTATTTTGGTGTACTTCTTATAGTATTTCATATTGACTATAAATAAGGATGTATGATATACTATGTGTGATGTAAGGAGTGCATATCATATGTTATAATGTATATCAAATACATAATTTATTTAATCTAAATATTTTAGTTTAAATTTTATTGTAAAGGTGATGTACAAAAGGGGTTACAGTTACATTAGTAAGGTAATGGTCCATTTCTTTATGAACAGTGTTTTCTCCCACTTTTGCTCCCAACCCACTTTCAACCTCAAGTTGTACATTTCCTTGCCAACATAGTGACTAGTATCAATGAACCCTTTGTCCCACTCTTTCTATGATTTCCCCGTCCCTCCCTCAAATCGGATAAACTTATATACAAGACAAAGGGTCCAGAAATTAAAAAAACAAAACAAAACAGTGACAACAGGGAATAAACCAAAAAAAGAAAAAATAATAACTGCAAACAATAAAAAATTTTTTAATCTTTTTTAAATTATAATTTCTTTCTTTCTTTCTTTTTTTATTGTGAGAATACCGTACAGAGGAGTTACAATTACATGGGCAAGATAACGAGTATATTTCTTATCAAGCATTGTTGCCTCCTCCTTTGTTTCCCCTTCCCATCCCTTCCCATCCTCCCCCAACCTCCCCCATCCAATCCTCCTCCCCCGCCTCCCCCCACCAAAGTTATAAAGCTCATTTTTCGACACAACGACTTGTACATCTCATTGTTGCAACGGGTCCACCTGTATCCCTAGTTAAACGATTTGTTTTTCCCCTTCCCCTCCACAAATTATACCAACATCAAATACAGTTAAAGTATGGGTTATACCATGGGGGAGGGACATACAAAGCAACATAGAAATCATCTTATAAATATGTTAGAAACAATTGCATGAAAGAAAACAAAAACATTTGAATGCTTATTGTTAGGTTTTTAAAAGGAGGTAGCCGAGTAAGAACAGCAGCATGCACGTGGTATTCAGGTAAGGGGTAGGTTTATTCAGTAGACCTGCTGGGACCAGGCAAGGTTGGCACTCCATGCGGCTGGCAAAAGAGAGCGGCTGGCCCAGGGTTAGGCCTTATATAGAGTAGGGGGGCGGGGGAGGGAAGGGTATGTCCAGGTAAAGGGAAGTGGGATCAGGTGGGAGAAAGGTGTGGCCACATCAGATTAAGATGTGACCTCAGCGGATGCGGATGTGACCTCTTCCAGGTGTCCCAGTTGCCTAGGTAACACAGGTACTGGGCGAGGTCTGTTTGCTGTCCAGGAATGGACCTTATATTCCAGCTTTTTGATAATTATGAAAAAGGGCGAAGATTCTCTCTGGCTACTTCCGGCTGGCAAGGGACATCATAGGGGTAAAAGGCTGAGATGTGGTCCACTCTGGGAGAAGGCAGCAGGCAGCAGCTGTCACTTGAGTGTTGAGTCCTTCGATGAAGTCTGGAGGAGGCAAGTCTCTTGGACAAAGTCTGGAGAAGTTTCATGAGGCATTGACGGAAACCTGAACAAATGGAAACTCTGACAATTTTTAAACCTAGAATGGCTAGCCTTTGAGAGGGAACCTAGAGGGGGGGTTCCTGGGACCCAGCCTGCACTCTTCAGGGCACAAGCCAAAAATGTAGAAAAGAGAAAGGGAGAGATAGGGAAAGTTGGATATGAGTGGCAGAGAGAAAACAAAGAGAGCCTGAAAGTAAACAGACTTCTGACCATTTACCATTGCAGTGACAAAACTGTTTAAAACTGAGAATGGCAGAAAAATTGACTTGCAGCACTCCATTAAATGTAGAGTCAGTCTGGTGAGTGAAGGAGAGCTGACCAGGCAGAAGCGACGTCCGACTTCCCCCAGAGCCCTCTAGAGAGAGATGGCCAAGCCCCCAAAACCAAGCGTCCTCAGCTTCGGAGGTGACCCGCCTTTCAGCTAAAGGCTGTAGGAGCTCTCTGGCGTGGCGCCACATCTGGACAGAGACTGAGCAACAGAGAGCCATAGAGAGTAGTTTCACTCACCAGAGTAGAGAAGTGGTGTGGATGTGGATGTGAAGGCCAACAATGGTATTGGTGAAAAATCTCGCATGGTGGGAAATTCTAGGTTTTATTGGGTAGCCGATGAAAAGAATACCACATGCTATTCAGGCAGGAAAAGAAGTTAATTTGACTGAACTGCTGCCCCCACCCAGCATGGTGGAGAAGCATGGCTGAAAAAGGAAAGGGGGGGGGAGGAAGAGGGGTGACCACCTCTGGGCCAGGACTTATCTAGGCCAGGGACAGGAAGAGGTGTGGCCAGGTGGGGGAAAGGTGTGGCCACACTGGATCTGGATGTGACCTCAGGTCTGGGATCCTCCTAAGGTCAGATGGGAGGCATGTGACCAGAAGTGGCCTGGGATGTGACCTAGTAGGAGGGGAAGGTGACTGCTTCCAGGTCTGCCAGTTCCATGATGTCTGCAAGAAGCGAGTCTCTTAGATAAAGTCTGGAGGAAGTCTTCTCAGACAGGGGGCTGGACAAAGATGAAAAGGAAATATATTACTGAAAAGAAAAGATTGGATGTCCATGGCTTGGAGGTGACCTAAGGGATGAGGTAGTGAGGTGTTTGGAGAGGAGAGCAATTAGCTCAGTCAGTGTTACTCACCCGGATCTTTAGGGATGCGAGATAGCCTTACCTTGGTTGGCCCAAGGGAGGAACAGGTGTACCTTGAAGTCAGTGTTGGTATAGACGGGGCAGGAGCAGGAGCCCTTTTTATTCTTGACAGGTGAATCCACTGTGCCTGTCCCTTGAGCTTGACAGCGGTGGGCGTGGTCAGCAGAACCTGGTGAGGGCCTGTCCACTTAGGGTGTAAACCAGATGGATTAAGGGTCTTGAGAAACACTTGATCACTAGGCAAAATTGGGGGAGTGGGAAAGGGGCCTTGATGAGGCTGAGGGAGACACTGATCAGCGTAACATGTGCCTAAGAAAGGTTAGGATGGAAGGTAGTCTATTAGTGGAGTCTTGGTATTGTCAGTAGGGAAATTACCTAGGAGAAAAGGTCTTCTATACATTAACTCAAAGGGGCTGAGGAAGGTAGGGGTGCGGGGAGAGGAACGTAAGCGGGTAAGCGCCAGGGGTAACAGTTCTGGCCAGGATTGCTGGAGCTCTAGAGAAAGTTTAGTAAGTTGTGTTTTGAGGAGCGCATTAGCTCTTTTAACCTTTCCAGAAGACTGAGGCCTATAAGGAATGTGAAGATTCCACTGGATATTTAGAGAGGATGCCACCTGTTGGGTCACTTTGGAGATGAAAGCAGGTCCGTTGTCTGATTGAAGTGACCTGGGTAAGCCAAACCTAGGAATAACTTCTTTAATAAGGACAGAGGCAACAGTGTCAGCAGTCTCCAACGTTGTGGGATAGGCTTCAATCCATCCTGAAAAGGTATCAACCATCGTTAGAAGGTATTTCAGCTGCTTACATCTGGGCATGTGAGTGAAGTCTATCTGCCAGTCTTCCCCTGGGGTGTGGCCCCATGCTTGGTGTGTGGGGAATGCAGCTGGTCGGAGACCACCCTGTGAGGAAGTAAGAGAACACATGGGGCAGGCTTGGGTAATAGCCTTTAGTCAGGCAGTTAGGCTAGGACAATGGATTAAAGGTGGGAGAGGCTTGTATCCAATATGCAGCACCTGGTGAACCTGGGAAAGAAAGCTGTCTGCTTGTGTCTCAGGAAGAACAACTTGTCCTTCCAGGGACCACCATCCCTGTGCTTCCTGGGAGGCTTACCCTGGTGAGTAAGTTCCTCAAGCTCCTGTGGGGTATAAGAGGGTTGTATTGAAGGCAATACCAGAAGCAAAGGAGCTGGAAGTTGTCCCTGGAGTTGTCTCTAGGCTGCTAGCTTTGCCTTCCTGTCTGCTTTTGAATTGCCAACTGTAATGGCATCCAATCCTGTCTGGTGTCCCCTGCAGTGAATGACCGCTACCTGTTGGGGGAGGGAAGCAGCTTCTAAAAACTTAAGAATAAGTGAGGCATTAGTAATGGGAGTCCCTTGGGTGGTCAGGAAGCCACGCTCCTTCCAGATTGCTGCATGCAAATGGAGAATATGATAGGCGTATTTTGAGTCTGTATAAATATTAATCTTCCGACCCTTGGCTAAAATTAAGGCCCTAGTTAAAGCTATAAGTTCTGCCTTTTGTGAGGTAGTGCTAGGGGGCAGAGGGCTGCTTTCAAGAATGGTAAAGTTATTAACGATGGCATAGCCCGCAACTCGGCTTCCTGAAGAGGTAGATGTGGAACTGCCATCGATGTACCAGGTGTCTTCTGGGTCAGGAAGAGGAGTTTCCGAGATACCTGTAAAATGGGGTGTGAATTCCTCCAAGGTCTCTGTACAGGAATGGGAAAGAAGATGAGAACTGGATGGAAGCAAAGTAGCTGGATTGAGCAGGGAGCAACTTTCCAGTGAGAAGTCAGGGTTTTGGGTTTTGAATAAAAGTAACATGAAACAGCTGTAGGCGGAGAGGGGAAAGGGAAGACAGGGATTTATGAGACAAAAGGTCCTTCTCGTCTGTGGGGAGAGTGAATGGTAGTGGGTTGGCCAAAAGTGAGTTTTGTGCTCTCCTGTGCTAAGGTGGTTGCTGCTGCCAAAGCTCGAAGACAGGCTGGCCAGCCTTTTACCGTTGGGTCTAGCTGCTTTGAGAGGTAGGCCACAGGTCTAAAGGAGGGGCCTGACATTTGTCCAAGAACCCCAAGGCCAATTCCCCACTTCTCAGTGACATAGAGTATAAAGGGTTCCTTGAGGTTGGGTAGAGCCAGTGCTGGAGCCCGAAGAAGCGCTTGCTTCAGAACTTTAAATGGGGTGTCAATGGGCTTTGTGGGGTCTGGTGGCTCCAGTAGGGAACCTTTGGATGCCTCATAAAGAGGTTTGGCCAACGTAGCAAAACCAGGTATCCAAATACAAAGGAAGCCTGCAAGTCCCAGGAAAGACAGAATGTCCTCCTTGGTCTGTGGGACAGAGAGAGACTCAATGTAGGCTTTTCTATCAAGAGTAATTCTTCTCTCTGTAGGAGTTATGGACAAACCCAAGTATGTTACTTCTGGCTTTGTAATCTGAGCCTTGGAAGGGGAGACTCTATATCCTTTTGTCAACAGGAAGTTGAGGAGGTCAGCTGTATGTTGGACAGCCAACTCAAAGGAAGGGCTGCAAAGCAAAAGATCATCCACGTACTGGAGAACGATGCTAGGAGACACCTGAAGAGAGAGGAGATCCTTTGCTAAAGCCTGTCCAAAGAAATGGGGGCTGTCTCGGAACCCTTGAGGGAGGACCGTCCAGGTCAGCTGTTGTGCCCTTGAAGTGTCTGGGTCCACCCAAGTAAAAGCAAAGAAATCTTGGCAGTCGGGATGCAGGGGGATTGTGAAGAATGCATCCTTGAGGTCCAGCACCGAGAAGTGGGTGGTACCAGGAGGTATCTGTGAAAGGAGGGTATATGGATTAGGCACAACAGGATGAATGGGAAGGACGGCAGCATTAATAGTGCACAGGTCCTGGACTAGGCGGTAGGTCCCATCAGGTTTAACTACTGGCAGGATAGGGGTGTTAAAGGGGGAGTTAGTGGGTCTGAGAAGTCCTTGTTTAAGAAGGCGAAGGATGATGGGTTTTAAACCTTGCCTGTGCCTAAGGGAAATGGGGTATTGGGAAGTACCAGGGAAATGGGTAGGGTCTTTAAGTTTAATGAGGACAGGAGTATGGTGTCTAGCCATAGTAGGAGTGGAAGTATCCCAGATAAGAGGGTTGACAAGATCTGGAGGGAAAGGGAAAGGATTTAGTTGGGAGGTTACAGGTGGAGGTTCATCTAAGGATAAAAGTAGAACAGGTGTAGGCTGTTTGGGGATATGGAATGAAAGGGAGACTTGAAATTTAGAGAGCAAGTCCCTTCTTAGGAGTGGGGTAGGACAGTGAGGTAAGATTAGGAAGGAGTGTGAAAAGGGAAAGTCTTCTATTTTACATAATACTGGTCCCATAGTTGGGGGACAGGTAGATGGGCCATCTACACCCACCACCGAGATCTGGGAGGGAAAAGTCTTGCCTGTATATTGACATAGCACCCAGTAAAAGAGAAAAGATATTAACTTACCGGCTACATAGAAACACACCCTGGGCTCCGTCATTGTGATGGTCTGGTTGTTGGGAGCAGGCGGCCCTGGGCACATTCATTCTGTAGCCAAGCAGAAAATCTCCGACCTGTCTGGCTCCACTTGCCTGGGTGGGCGGGGTGGGGGAGGGGCTGGCCTACCTTGTGGAGGTGAGGAGGGGCAATCTACTCCCCAGTGTCCTTGTTGCCCACACCTTGGGCAGGGTCAAGGTGGAGGTCGTGGTGAAGGACAGAATTTTGCCCAGTGGCCCTGTTGCCCACACTTGAAGCATGCTCCAGGTGGTGCATGTTGGGTGCGTCTCCTCAGAGGAGGCCGGATGGCAGCAGCCAGGATTTGATAGTTCTCCCTCTCAAGGGCAGTCTTATTGGCAATCTCCTGCTCTTCTCGATTATTGAAAACTTTAAATGCCATACTCACCAGATCTCGTTGAGGGGTCTGAGGACCGTCCTCAGCCTTTTTTTAACTTTTTCCTAATATTGGGGGCTGATTGGGCAATAAAATGAGTATTGAGAACCACCTTAGCCTCTGCTGACTCTGGGTCCAGCCTTGTATAGTGCTGGAGCGCTACTGTAAGGCGTTCAAGAAACTCTGCCGGGTTTTCATTGGGCCTTTGAGTAATGTGGTTTAATTTGTCATAATTAACAGGGAGATAGGCTGCCTTTTGAAGGCCAGCCACTAAGCAAGTTATCATCCTATTTCTGCTTTCCCACCCAGGAGCATCATGTTGATAATTCCAATTGGGCTCTTCCCTAGGCACAGCTGTTGCTCCCACTGGAAAGTTAATATCTAGGCGGTGAGCTTCATCGGCATTTGCCCGGGCTGCAGTCCACACCCTTTCTTTTTCCTCAGCAGTAAGGGTAGAGGATAGTATTAGATATATATCCTACCAAGTAAGGTCCTAGGTCTGAGCCAGGTTCTTAAACTGCTTGACATAATTATTAGAATCTTGGGCATAAGATCCCAGCCGCTTCTCAATCTGAGCAATATCAAACATTGAGAATGGCGCATGCACCCTAATTACACCTTCAGCCCCTGCCACCTCTCGCAAAGGGCACATGGGGTCTGGTGGAGGTTGTGTGCCACCAGTGTGAGACCAGTGTGAGCTGTAGGAGGGAAGGGAGAGAGGGTGAAGAGGAGGAGAGTGAAGATGGGGAAGGCACCAGATGCTCCGCAGGAAGAGGGGCAGAGTCAAAAAGAGGGTCAGGCACATCAGGCTCTGGAGGGGGCCCTGCACTGTTAGAGTTGGGTTCTCCACGTGCCAGGAGGAGTGGAAAGGCCGGGCATGATTGGCATAGGGCAGGGTTGTCCCAGAGAGCAAAGAATGGCTGAATATGAATGACCTCAGACCATTTACCATTACGACGGCAAAAAATCATCTAAATCTCTGAGAATGACATAGTCAAAAGTCCCATCTTTGGGCCATCGAGAATAATTATCCAGTTGGTACTGTGGCCAAACTTGAGTGCAATAATAAATCAGGCGTTTCTTGTTGATGCAGTCAATGGACAAGACATCCAGGGAACGCAGGAGGCATTCCAATGGAGTTTCCTCCTTTGGGCTGACTTACAACAATCCATTAGAAATGCAAAAGAGAAAAACGTAGGAGGGAAAATTCAGTGAGTGAAGGAGGACTTACCGAATGGAAGCAATTTGGGGTTCATTCCCCTCACATCAACTTATCTGACCTTTTCTGTTTGACTCAGACAGATACTAGTTATTGCAAATAAGGGAAACCATGGGACCTATGTTTCTTTGGGCCTGGCTTACTTCACTTAATATAATTTTTCCAAGTCTTTCCATTTCCATTTCTTGGAGTTCATTTTGATAAACATCATTTTGTGTGGTCCTATGCACATTGAGCCATTGTGATACCATCCTAAGAATATCCTCCTCACTGTGTGATGCTTAGAGTGCTGTTTAATTAATTAAGTCCCACTATAATTATTTGTCTTTATCCATTGGATTAACTTGTAGATTTTTTGTACGTCTTTTAATTGTAAAAATACCATACAGAGGGGTTACAATTACATGAGCAAGGTAACGAGTACATTTCTTATCAAGCATTGTTGCCTCCTCCTTTGTTTTTCCCTTTCCACCCCTCCACCACGCCCCCGCGAAGTTGTATAGTTCGTTTTCAATATAGTGTCTTGTACATCTCACTGTGACAGTGGGTCAACTTGTATCCCTATTGATAGATATATTCAAATTATTACAAATGCGGGAAACATGCAGCCTATGTCTTTTTGGGTCTGGCTTATTTTTCTTAACACGATTTTTTTTTCAAGTCTTTGTATTGAAAGGTTAAAGTCTTGAGGCAGTGACCATTTGTTGCTTGTTTATCTCAGCTAGCAGAGCAACACGTGGTGGTAATCCAAACACCTGGTTGTGTGCCTTTATAAGCCCTGCAAATCCTTAGCTTGGGGCTCTCCTCCTAGGTTCCGCTGTGTCAGAGTGTAGGATGAAGCCCGAGCTGCAGCCTGTCTAAATAAAACCTTAAAACAGCTGTAAAGTCTGACTCTTGGTGGTCTTCTTGGTGGGGGTCCTGCGACCTGGGCACAACACTATTTCCTTTTAATTATGTTAAACATACAGTAATATTAAGATAGCATATAAAAGTTTTTTTTCTGATTCTCCACTTTAAATGCAAAACCTTTGAAATGTTTTTATACGGTGTTATATGTTTCTATCATGCTTTGACCAACCAGTCTATAGATTATTTTTATGTTGCTTCCAATGTTTGACAAAGTAAATATGTATAAGCATATATATGGCTAAACCATTCTTTGTATCTCTGGTTATTTCCTCCATCTGGAGTCTTCCTTCTAACCATATTGTTAATCTGAAAAGACTCATTATTTTAATCCTATAGATACTTATCACTGAATGACACTCAAACATATTTTACTAATAAATACTTTTTTCAGTTAGCATGTGAAAAATGCTACTACAAGACTAGTATTGAATAAGAGCTTTAAAAGTTTTGATTTGATGAGATGTACAGGACACTATGTTGAAAATGAACTTTACAATGTGGGGGGGGGTGAAGGAGGTGGAGGGAGGGAGGAGTTGCGGAGGTGGGGAAGGAAGAGATGGTAGGGAAAAAACAAAGGCAGAGGTAACAATGCTCGATACCCAACTCATGTAACTGTAACCCCTCTGTACGGTATTTTTACAATAAAAATACATAAAATATAAAAAATATCTAAAAAATTCAATATATTAGAGCTAGGGTAGTGGTAGGCTCTGGGCTTAATCTCCAGCATTAAAGAAAAAAATTGTAATAGCTCACTGATAGTTAAGTAGAATATAAAGATTATTATACTACCCAGTGTACTCTTCATATATTTAAATTTTTCATAATAAAATTACTATTAAAAATCAAAAGTTTTGCTTTGAAAATTGGATAAATTAACAAGACAGCATGGTTTTATTTAAAATTAGTAAGCTGAATTACTATCAAAGTTAACTGGTTAAAAAAAATATTAAGCACTATAGTTTTAGACTGTCCAAAATTAAGTGGGGTCTTTCAACTCAAGTTTCTGTGTACAGCAACATTGGGGATACCACTCTCATTTGAAACTTTGTAAGAATCAAAATAATGTATTATGAACAAAATAAATCTAAAAATCTACTATGAATTCTGTAGGTATCACTATTGTTAACTGAAGAACATTACTCAAAATAAAGCCTAAAATATATGACATAGCTATAAATATGGACTTCTATTAAGGCAAGAGTTGGGCATAACTGAGGAGTTACAGTACTTAATCCAAATTGACAACAAATCTCTGCTTGTTCTTTTCATCTCTTTGTTCCAAAGCAATGTGGATTATTTAATTGATATGCTCAGCATTTGAATATTCATTTTCTTAATTTTTTCAACTAGTCATTCTACTGAAAATTAGCTTCTCTAGAGTATTGCTCTTCTTATATTTTTTTTCTAAAATACTTTTGTGGAGCTACCATTTTCTAATCTGACCATGCTTTTGATCTGTATTCTCTAGTTCGGCAAATATGCTGTAGCATTTTTTAAACCTTTTTCCCCACATTTTTATTAGCATCAATGAGTTGTGCAAAGGGGTTTCATTGTGACATGTTCATAAGTGCATAACATTTTGTCTACTTCCCAGAACAATTTCACCAAGATTTATTGTTCTATTTTGATCCTCCCTCACCTCCCAATTTCCCCTCCCCCTCCCACTAATACACATTCTTGGGGCCCTCTGGACAAGACATTCTTGTCTATTCTTATTTGTATGCTCATTGTTCAAAGGAGTTTCAACCTGATAGACTTGAGCTGAAGAGATGAAGGACAGTGCCCAGACTTCAGGTCCACAACCAAAAAATAAAAAAGCTGAACAAGAGAGCTGAAGCACTGTCTCAATCCCCAGATCAAAAGAGGGAAGGATTTCCTTTAGATGTCTTCATACTTGCATATAATGCACTTTGATCAAATTCACTTCCCAATTTGTTTTTTTAAAACAGGTCTTACAGGTCAAGCTGGTCTCAAACAGGTTGTCCTCCTGTCTTAGACTAGGTATAACAGTCTGTGACACAGGCTTGGCCATATTGTCATTCATAAGCTTAATGAATAAATAATAGAAAGAAGAGGATGCTATTTTAGTGCAAATGTATTAACTTTTATAGCCATCTCAGGAAATTCTAATCAAATTTCTGAAGTGTGAGAAATGTTCTCTATATACAAGATCCTAAATAGTAACAACTTGCTAGTATGTACTTATTGATGCTTTGCTCTCACAATATGTGAGGTTCATTGAGAAATTGAGTTTTAAGTCATTTAAAAACAAATTGTTTACTGTAAATTTAATGAGCTACTTTACATTAAATTTGACAATTTGAATAGACTCAGATTCTCAAAGCTCATGTAAAAAGAAATAGATGACCATAATAGCTCTTTATAAGTGAAAAAAGCATTACAATTAAAAACCTTCCCCCAAAGAAAACTCTTAATATTGAAGTTCAAGGCTTCATTGGTCTATCAAACATTCAAGAAATTATTCAGAAAAT